ATTTCTTTTTTAGGCAGCAACTAATCACAATACCCCCAACCGAAATTAAGACCCCTCTGTGTAAACATTGGCGCAGGTTTTTCTCATTCGTTCGCCTAATTAAGCGAGTGCATGGAGATTGAAAATAAGTTACGGATTCACTACTTTCATCACTATCTAGTGGACCACCCGCAGAGTTTCTAGGCGCATTTGCTGTTGGAAACTGCCCTATTTGAGGTAAAGTGACCAAAATACAGTGTTGGTAGTCTGCTAATAACAAGATTTGTTTGCTTGAAGGCTCTTCCATTTGATAATGATAGAGTTCCCTTGGAGCAATGAGGCCACGAGCGAAGTTCACTTAAGGTGTGCATTTGGGTTATCTTTCACTCATGTATTTAACCATCATTGTGCTTTGACTACTCACTAGTAACGTAGAAGTAATTTAAAATGTTCAACATGGCATGCTCATCTTTCGTCGCAATTCGTTCCCAGCTTCTGACTTTAAAATGTTCTGGTCTCACCTTAAGGCGTTTTTTTGGCATAAATTTACTACTCACTGATGTCAATCTTAAAAGTTTTAAAATCAATTGAAGATGTTCTGTTACTACATGCACATCATCTTTCTAAGTATGGCACCAATTTGATGCATGGCACTTGCCCAATTGGCAGTCGGTCTTTTGATAATGGAGGAAAGTAGGAATTAAGTCTTCACTCAATCGCTTTTTTATTGCCTAATGAAATACAGACTGTCCTAGCATAGATAAATCCCGTTGTCCAAAGAGCTACTGTATAGAGATGGGGAGGGATGTAAAGCAATCACATCGAAAGCAGTTTGTTGATTGTGCTTTAAACCACGAGCATTGTTAAAAAAGGTGATAGATTGACAGATACAAACGCGTTCATGAATACGAGGGTGTGTGTATCTGAGGTGGGTTGAAGCTACCAAGTAATCGACTTCTGATTGGATCTACACGTTGCTAGCATGTGAAGCGGACTTCAGTGATTATTTCCAGAATTTTGTGTTCGTTGGAGTTTTGTGGACGGGTATTGCTTCGGATTGCAACCACTCAATTTTCCATTTCAGCTTTTACACTCATTAACCATGCAATTTCGTGCTCCGATTTTGGTTGCCCATTTGAATAAAAGAGCAAAATTAAGACTCGAATGTTGAGAACAGAATCAAAGAGTAGATAGGGCATTCATATATACTGGGATTACAAGAATAATGAGTAGATGCACGAGAGTTACTGTTTGCGATTCAGCCAGTGTTTCTAACCATCGGTTACCATGACCTCACCCAGGAAGCCTAATGGACACCCTCGGGTTAAGCAGAGCTGAATGCTACCAGGCGCGCCCCCGAGTTGTGGATGGGGGATACCTTCACAGAAGAACGTTAGCTGTGAATAAGTTGTGGCATACTGCAACAAATAAGCAGTCGCGAACAAACAGCGGCGGCACCACCATGATGTGGTGGGTTTCAGGCTGGTCACCTGGCTCCTGTTTAAAAGCTGCATAAACCCACTGACGATGTCTTGACAAAGGTCGATGTGACTGGCTTTTTAAAACTAGTCATTGACCCCCTCACTTCCGATGCGACGGATTACTTCCTGCTACCTTGCAGTTCGCACTTGGTTGTGTAAAGGCTAGAGGAGCGCCTTCAAAATAAAAACAACGCCGAGTGATGCTGGGGATGTCTCTCGTACCAAACTCTCAAGGAACTCCATGATCTTGTCTGGATCCGGCTTATCCTTTCCAAGGAGCCAGCCACAGTAAACTAATTAAACCTAAAGAGACCTATGTTACCCAGTGTCCCGGTTAGAGTTTTCATAGCCTCATACCAGATCTTAATTTGACCTCCCCAGACCTTTTACCATCCTCTACTTGCCTCGACAAACAAGGCGCTCCGTGGCGATCTATTTCGTGGTGTACTCACCAAAGTAGTCTATGGAGGTCGACCA